ATAGTATAACAGTCAATAATATTGCTAAATAGTCCAAAAATTTCATTTTTTTTAATTATTATTATTATTTTGAATAAATTATAAATAAATATTATTTTAATTATATAWAGTATATATATTATTAAACTTTCATCAATAGCAACCCACAAATTAAATAAATAAATAAATGATTATTTTTAAATAATATTATTTAAAATAAATTGATGATTTTATTATAACATATTAAGTTAATATTAATTTTTTAAATAAATTTATAATAATTATATACACAAACACAAAAAAAATCATTTTTAACCACTTTATTGAATAGACAACTAAAAATTGAAGCAAATGTTACATTTTATTAAAAACTATTAAAACATTTTATATTTATTAAGATTACAAGATTTTGTTTTTGTTATTGTTTTTAATAATAATAATTATTATTAAACATTAACTTATATATTAATCCATTTACATTTAATTTATTTTTTTTATTATAATTTTTTTATATACACTAATATATTTTGATATTAAAATTTATATACACATTAAAAAATAAAATTATTTATATTTATTTTTAATATAATAAAAGATAACTCGTTGAGAGTACAAGTTTTTTATATAATTATAAATATTATGATTATTAATGTTGTTGTTGTTGTTGAGGCTATAACTGTGTTAATAAAAGTTATATAACATTAAGAAAAAAATATATTTTAATTTATTTAAAAAAATAAAATAAATTATTTGTTTGTTTTGTTGTTTTGTGAAAAAAAAATTTAATACTAAAATAAACATTAAAAACCCGGAACAGTGTCACTCATTTAAAATACATTATATAATATTTATACATTATATATATATATATATATATACAGTATATATAAGTTATATATTTATAACTTACATATAGTTAAATATAAGATAACATTTAAAAAAACAATAAAAATTATTTTAATGCACATTAATTATTATTATTATTATTAACAGTATTATTATTGAAAGTAAAAATATTTAAGATATATATATTCACACAATAATAATAATACATAATACATGTTATCTATAATATAATATTAATTGCCTAATAATAAATGTATTTATTTTTTTGAGAGAAAAAAAATTGATTTTTATCTAAACTAACAGTTGTTTTGCAAACAAAAAAATTGATACATTATTATCATTATTGTGTTAATCAATCAATCATTTATTTAAATTACATTTTTTAGTGTTAGTATATTGTGTTGTATTGTTTTTTTTTTTAAAGTTTTTAGTTAATTAATAGTGAAATACAACAAAATATATACCATTAGATTGATTTAAATATAAGTTAATAAATTATATATTTATATATACAGTATATATATTTACCTATAAAAATATTTAATCAATGAAATTGTTTATAAAATTGTTAACAAAAATAAATTTTTTTGTATTCAATAAATAACACAATTTAAATTGTTAACAAAAATAAGTGTAACTTAATTTTATTATTAATTGTCATTTAAAAAAATAAATGTCAATAATAATTAGTGATTTTTTAAAAAAATAAATTTTTTAAATAACTTTGAACTTTGATGATCTCAATTTAGATTTTGATAACATTTTTTCTACAATAAATAAATAATTAATTAATTTAAGATAAAATTATTCAATCAAGTGTTACAATATTGTGTGATAATTGATGTAATTTTTGATTTTAGTAATTAACAAATAAAATATATATTTATTTTCAATATTGCTCATTGATTATAACAATTATCAACCGTAAAGTAAATAGTATATATATATATACAAAAAAATATATATTTGATATTATATTAACTTTCAATCAAATTAATAATATATTTTTGTTTAAACTATCTATATATCATATAATCTGAAACTTTAAAATAAATATTAGTAAATTTTAAATTATAATCAAGTTTTTTTTGTATAATAATTATTATTTAAAAAGTGATAATCATTTATTTAGTTTAGTATTATAATACATAAGTTATATATAATAGCAATAACAACAAACATTTATTATTTAATAAATTTACAAATAAATAAATAAAAATTGAAATAAATTTTCTCAAATAATATATATATGTAAAACAAAACTAAATTTTATTATTATTATTATTTTGATATATCTAAAAAATCATTGTGTTAAGTATATTACTATAAAAGATAATAATACATTTAGGCTCTTAATAATTAGTTATTCAATAAATAAAATAAATTACTTTAATAAAACAAAAATAAAACAAATCTATATATATATATAAATTAATGTAAACTATTTCCTCTATATGTTTAATCATAATAACAACAACAACAAATATTATTATAAATAAAATAAAAATTAATTAGAAAAGTAAAAGTTTTATTAAATTGACTATTTTTYTTAAAAAAAAATCATAGAAATAAATTCCCAATAATTTGATTAACATTTCCATGGATGGAAGTTCCCTTAAAAAAATTCCTGTAAAATATAATCGTTAGAAAGTTAAATATATATATTATATTAAATTTATTATTACAATATAAATAGTACAGAAACTTCAAATATTTTTTTTAAATCAAAAAAAATTATTGAAATAATAATAATAATATTCAAATTAATTTTAATTTAGTTATACTATTTATTAATATATACTGTATATACGGTATATATAACTTAAAAATACAGTTTAATATAATATTTTGTAATATATAATAATAATTAATCTATTATATAATTTTTATCTTAACAAACATAAGTCTATATAATCTATATAATAGATTATATAGACTCTAATGTATATTAATTTTTTATTTGTTAATATAAAATGACTAATTATATTATTTTTAAAATTATAATTATTTAACTACTCTATTGTAATTATCAATGATTTTGTAAATTTTTTTTTGTGAAAAGTATAAAAAGTATAATCTCATTATTAATATGATTATATAAAAAATTGATATATTAATTAATAAAATTTATAAACTTATATAATATAATTTATATATACTGTATATATGATATATAAACTAAATTGTATGTTAATTAAATAATTTTCACAATCATCATCAATATTATTAATTATTATATTTAGTTATCGTTAAATTAAACTTATTTATATTTTTTTAAACAAAACTTAATTTTAATTATTATTATAATAATAATTATTTTAATAAAGTGTTTTTTTGTTGTAGTTTTTCAATAACTTTGATGATCTCAATTTAGATTTTTAATAAAACTGTTTCCAATAATTAATTAATTAATTTAAGATAATATTGTTCAATGAAATGATGATAATAATTGTGTGATAATTAATGTAATTTTTTTTTGTAAAAATCTATTAATATTTATTTTCAATATTAATCATTTGATTATAACAATTATAAACAGTAAAGTCAATATACATTTATATTAATTAATACTAAATTATATAAATTTAATTTTAAATTTTATCAATCAAATTAATAATATGTTTGCTTATAAAAATATTTACATAAAATATTTAAATAAATAATAATCATTATAAAAATCAAATAAAAATTATAATGATTAAGTATTAATAATAATAATTATTATTATTTATTTAGTTAAGTTTTAGTAAATTATAATTATATACAAAAGTACAATAAAACAATAAAAATTTTATAATGTTTCAATAAATTTACAAAAAAAAAACAAATAAAAATTGGAAATAATTTTTTTCATATCATATATAATATATTTGTTAACAAAATTATCAAACAAATTTTTTTTATTATGATATTTTTATTTTTTAAAAATATGTTAAGTATATTACCATAAATGGTAAGTGTTTTTAGGCACTTAATAATTAGTCAAACAATAAATTTTAATAAATAAAAAATTAATAAATTACTGTAATAAATGTTTGCTTATACATAAAAAAATTAAAAATAAAAACTTTATATAAAAATTAATGTAAAATAAACTATTTCCTATGGTAATCTTAATAATAAAAAAAACAAAAAAATTATAAATAAAACAGTTATTTTTAAAAAAGTAAAAGTTTTATAGAGTTGACTACAACAACAATAATTAATCGCTTAGAGAGACTACAGAATCTAATACTTATACTCTCTCTCTCTCTCTCTCTCTCTCTCTCTCTCTCTCTCTCTCTCTCTCTCTCTCTCTCTTTCTCTCTTTCTCTCTCTCTCTCTCACACATATACATACTCTCTCTCATATATACAGACTCATACATACATATATACACACACATACATACATACACACACACATATACATATAAACACATACATAAACACACACATAGATACATATATATACATACACATACATACAAACACATACATACACACACATATATATATATACACATACATACACACATACATACATACATACATACACACACACATACATACACACATACATACACACATACATACATACACACATATATATATATATATATACAGACTCATTGAGCACTGAATCTGTTTATTAAAAAATTATATGTAATGTCATGTATGTGTAGTACAATATGTGTATGTTTTTACACAAACAAATATAATATATATATATACAGTATATAGACGTCATATGAAATTAAATAAAAACGAAATATTATAATAATAATAATAATTATTATTATTATTATTTAAAAATATTGAAATAGATTGTAAATGGTGTGCATACTGTTGCCAATGTCAAACAACATACCGGTGCCAGAGTATTATATATATATATATACTTTTTTTTAAAAAAAATATTATTTTACTCTACCGGTATATACCGTATTCGTATAGCAACAGTATGAATAGCATCCCTGTGCTCTCAACACACAATAATAAATATAATTAATATTATATAAACATAATATTATTTAATTTTTTTTATATAAAAATTATATATAAATATTAAATATCACGATTCTTGTTAATAATATACATATAATTATGTATATACTGTATTGTATTTTATATGTATTTGTATGATGATTGTAGAGCACCTATACTACTACTACTACTATTATTATTATTAATATTATGAGGACAACCAATGTCAGACATGTGGTGACCGATTTAGTGGGTGATTGGGGTCTATGGCAGCTAAATATTGTTATGTTTTCAATCAGTATATCCCTGTTTTCAGCACTGAACAACCTGTCCGTATCGTTTTATGCGCCCAATATTAAGTACTGGTGCACCGATAATGATACTACTACTACAACTACCAGTGCTAGCAATCAGGTAGTTTTTTGTTGTTGTTGTTGTGTTAAATTAATATTTATAAAAATAATAATAATTTTTTGTTTATATAAAAAAGACATTTAAATCAACTGATTATTATTGTCTGAATGGTTGTCATAACTGGACGTTTGATAAATCAGTGTTTAAATCGACAATCATTGATGAGGTAATTACGATATATATATACACTACTTAACAMACACACACACACACACACACACACACACACACACACATACATACATACATACACTAATACATACAAACATACATACATATACACACACACACACAAATACATACATACACACACACACACCTATTAATACATATACTGTATATATATAGAGGTAGTATAAAGTTTATAAATATCGTCAATTAGTAGTACTACTACTAAATAATTAATGTCAAACCAAACAAAAAAAAGTTATTTTTTATCGCATAATAATATATAATGAGATTTTTGTTTATTTTGTATTATAGTTATTAATATTACATTTTTGGAGCTTAAATGATAAATATATTTAAATTAATTTTTTTCATATAAATATGTTGTTAAAATTACTACCATTTTTTGAGGACACATCTATTTGCATAATAATTATGAGTTTTCAATAATTATTATTGTTTTTAACTCAATATTATTGCTAATTAGTCTATTAGCCATAAACTTTAAATAGTAATATTAATTGATATGCATATCAATTAATATTACCTATATATATATATRTWTGAGTTACTATTAATAATTATATTTTATTTATTTGTTATTAATTTAAAATAAATAAAACAAAACAATTTTTAAGTTTTTTTTCATTGGTAGAAATATATAAATTTAAAGTATTTTTATAATTAGTAATTATATAACTTTATAATTTATTTATAATATATAAATATATATAAATTTAACTATTTTTTAAACACATAATAAATACACATATAATAAAATAAATATTATTAAAACATTTTTGTAATAATAATAATCTCAATATTTTGTTTAATGTTTATTTTTTTATAAAAATAAATAAAATATTTTTGCGATAATTATAGTATTATACCATTTGATAAATATAGTTTAAAAAAATAATTTATATATATAWAAGTGATACACAAAAAATATTTAATTAAATGCATATATAAATTAATTATATAAAAATTTTAATCAATTTTTGTTTAAAAATAAACTTAACTAGATACTATATTTTTTGTTTATGTGAAAATTACTATAATAAAAATTTAATTAACTGTCCAATAAAAATAAATGGACTAGTTGAATTTTGTTTTACAATTATCAACTGTAGCATACAATTCAATTTTTATTCAACAAAAATAATAATTAAAATTTAAAATTATTATTATTTTAACACAATTTAAGTTTTTAATTTAATAAAATAAATAATTTACATACTGTGATTTTTTAGTAAACAGTAAATAAATTTTAAATATTATAATTTTATATATATATAWAAAATTATGATAATATTTTTGATGATAATTACTAATGCAATTTATTTGATTTTTTTTATATTATTAATATTTTCTTAATATAATTAATATAATATAATTTTTTAATTAATATACTTAAAATTTACCATCGTTAATAATTGTTAATTAACAGTTTGTAATAGTAAAGTTTATTTATTTTAATATCTCAATAAATAAATAAATAATTGATCTAGCAATTTATCTATCAATATAAATAATGTTACATTTAGTCATTTAATATTTTTTAAAAAAACTAATTAAATTTTTTTTAAATATACCAAGATACATCAGTGTTATTATAGCAGTTTGAAAAATCTAATTAATTTTTTTGTTGTTAATTTCAATCTTATAATTATTAATAAATAAAATAAAATAAAAATATTAAAAAATTTAAATAATATTTTTTAATTGATAATTTTCTATAAAATATAATAATTATTAATTATATATAAAAAATAAATTATTTTAAATTATGTTTAGTATAATTTTAAAAGTTGTGACTTTTTTTGTTTAACACTTAATATTAATTTTAAAAAATTTAGAAAAAAAACGTATCGATACTATTAATTGTTAATAATAATATAAAAAATATTTAAAATATAACAATAAATTGTTTGTTTCTATGATAAGCCATTTATTAAATTACATAAACAATAAATTGTGAAATAATTTTAGAAAATTTTCATACAATATTTAAAATTTTTCATTTTATTATTTGATTCATTTTTTTCTATAAAATATTTATATAATTTTTGATATATTTTGATTTAATAAATGAAAAAAATTTCATCATCAATTATCTTTTAGTAGTAAACAATTGTTTATAAAAAATTTGTGCCATTGTTTAGTAAATTATAGTAAATATTATTATTTTGTTTTAATTTATCGGAATTATATAAAAAATTAGTTTAAGTGTTAAACTAATAAATAATTAATGATATCATAAATATTATCAATAATTTTATATTAATTTTTTTATAAAACAATAATAGTGTATTATTTTTTTTATAAATATATAAAATTTTAAAAATTATTTTAAAAATTATAATAATTAATAGTTTATACGTTAAAAATTTATTGATTTAAAAAAATTATTTAACCGTTTATATTGTTTATCAATTTCTAATTCATAATCATAAAATTAATATTATCCAAAGTTGTTAATAAATTTATATATATTCAAAAAAAACAATATAAATTACCAGGGATAAAAAATATATCTAAACTATATATTGTAAAATAATTATCTAAATATTTTAGTAAAAATATTCAATTTTATCTGTTTTTAATTAACAAAAAGATTAATTAAAAAAAATAATTAATTTTAAAATATATAATTATGATTTAATTTCGTTTACCATATTTTTTATCATAAAAATAAAATTAAAAAAAATTTATATACAATTACCATTGTAGAACTAATTTTATTTAAAAACTATTTTATAGTTTAGACAAACAATTGTATTACAATGAAAGCAAACAATTTTTTTTAAATCCAAATTGTTTATTAAAATTTTATTAATTTATTATATTAATGTTGATTGTCCTATCATTTTCATTGTTTATTGTTTTAATTAGACTATAATAATAATAATATTGTCGAAACATTATTGTTATTAATATTAAATTATAATTTACATATAAATACAGATAATTTAAATAATAAATATTAATAAATCGTTTATCGATTGATAATTATCTATAAAAATATAATTATTAATTATATAAATTATTTTAATTTAAGTTTTGTATAATTTGAAAGATTGTGACTTTTTTGTTTAACATTTTATATAAATAATTAAAAAAAAAATAATATAAAAATATTTAGTTATATTTTTATTAAATAAATAAAACAAGATTTTCTTTGTTATTTCAATGTTTTTTATATAAAATATAAAAATTTTGATTTAATTTCATTTAATATAAAATTTTTATCATAATCTTATCTATTAGTACTAAACAATTGTCACAATTTGCCAAATCTTTAATAAATGTAAACATCAATGGTATTGGTTTTAACTTAAAATAACTATTTAATACTAAATTTTTTTTTGAACGATTGATATAATATTATTGTTCAAAAAAAACAGTCATATTATTATTAATAAAATTAAATAAATAATATTTAATTTTTTTAAAATGGAAAAGTTTGTTAATATATATAAATTACATCAATTTATTTAAATATAAGTTTTAATGTTCCACTACTGGAAGTAAATGCTAAAAATTTTAAAAAATTATTTTTTTTTTGTAAATCATGATCCATTTGTTTCAATTTGATATTTTCCCAAAATACAATTAGGATGTTTAATTTGCGTCAAAAAATATGTTTATGATAATTTAATAATTGAAAATTGAAAATATAATATATCTGTTTATTATTTTTTATACGAAAATATGAATTTAATAATAAACATAAATATGATTGCACTGTAACACACAGTTATGATAGGTAATGAATTATAAATAATATTAAATTATTTTTTGATTTATTTAAATTGATTGATTTATTGTTAAATTTATTTTTAAAAAACTAAAATCTAAAATTTCAAGATCATTAATCTTAATAAAAATAAATGAACCAAAGTTGCTAATAAATTATATATATGAAAAAAATATAATATGTTATTAAAATAAAATTCATTTAATACAAGTTTATAATCATAACAAAAATTAATCCAAAGTTGTTAATAAATTTTTCAATCAAATGAAGTTTAAAATTTAAATTACTCAAACTATATATTATTAAATAATTTGTATAATATTTAAAAAATATTCAGTTTTATCAGTTTTTTTTTAAATAATCAAATTGTGTTGTTTATTATTTCAAGAATTTTAAATTATTACTTAATTTCGATAACTATATTTTACATAAAAAATATTTATTTTTAATTTAAAATTATTTAGTAATTATAAAAATATTTGTATCTTTAATTTATATTGAAATTTATTATTAAAATTATTTTTTTTAAAAATAATTATTTTAATAAAAATAATTACTTTAGATTTTTAGTATTGTTTTACATCTAGTGTTTAATGATTTTCTAAGACAAATGCCGCTAATTTGTAATAATTGATTTTTTTTGATAACTTTACAGAAGTCAATAGTACAGATTGACCGCTAATTATTTGTTTAAATAAATATCGTTTTCTACTTATTATCAAATTTATATAAATTTTTGATAATTTAAATATTTTCTATTAAATAAATTAAATAAAAAATTTTACATAACCGAAAGATATTTAATATCTAAAATAACTTTTGATTTGACTAAACTAAAATATTAAAATTTTGATGATTGTCGACTAGATCATCAAAATGATTAATATATGATCTAGGTTGTTTAAAATATTCAGTTAGTTCACTTTTAAATAATTGTTAAAATAAAAAAAACATAAAATCAACCATAATGAAAACAATAATTTTGATACTGGTCCATTGATTAAATGATTGCTAATTGAAACTGGAGAGAAAAATAAAATAAATAAATACAATAATTTAAAAACTTAACCATGATATATATATATATATATTAATAAATTATAATCAATATAATATTCAATTATTTTTATATTGACCACTAAATATCAATAGTTTATGACCGCTAATTATTTGCTTTAAAACATTAACTACTATTACTAAATTTATATAGATTTTGATAATTCAAATTGGGGAAAATT